TGCTCTATCCTCCTCCGTAACTCGGTTGCTTATTTTCAACCAAGTTGAAGCAACTCTGTTGATGTTTCGTTAATTTTTATTGTACGGAAGGAAGGGTAATGATAGACTAATCAAATTCGAGGGAGTGATTAGGCATGCATTCAAGTATTAAACAAAATATTATAATCGACAAATATTAGGAAATGGCGAAATCTCTGACCGCCGTTATGACGGCGAATTTGTGCCCGATCGTAAATTATTTTTCACTCGACGCGTTTCGTTGGCGAGCTTTTACTTTGGAAAACGCGTTTCGGGCGAAGAGAAATCGTCTCTGACGTGTCGCGTATACGGTGTATCCTTAATTTATTCACGCCTACCGTGTCTACGATCTACGGCGCGATCTTCCGAGCCCGAAACGAAAACGAAAGTGTACGACAGCGTTTCAAGCGGCGATCCGATTCACGAAAATTCCCAAACCTGACGTGAACGTACCATCTACCTGTCCTTTTTCTCGTGCTTTCTCACCTACCATTCTGCAGGGCAGTTCTCCAGTTGCCCAATTTTAGAAAACGAGCACGTCACGGTGGCCAAGATATTTTTGTTGTCGGACTACCATGCGAACGTGTATCTTCGAGCTTCAAACGGAAGAATACGTAAACAGAGACCGAGCAAAGCACGTGCGTTAAGTTTCTGCACGTCTCTGCATTTCCACGTTTAATAGCATTTAAATTGTCCAGAGCTGTCCGAAGCATACGAGCTTTTTTTTTTTTCCATAGCGACGCACATAAGTTCATTTAAGGGTTCGCATTTATTTAATCCTTTCATCTAACAACGAATTATTAAACGAACTTACACCGCTATCAAGAACCGGTTATTAATCTTAGTGATCTTAGTACCTAGATCTTAGAGTAGATCTTAGCGATAAGCTTTTTGTTAAGTTTCATATTTTTTCTTACGGTTTCAGATAAACGCCGCCATATGGACGTTACCGAATGTTACGCCACTAAATTCCCGGATTACACTCTCCTTCGAACAAAATGCGATCCTAACGTATTTCGAAGCAAGACGACGTTTTGCGTGGAAATTAAACCGAAGCAAGGATACTCGAGGGACACCGATTGTAAATTTCAAAAGTGTCCCTACTGTTTGGCTCAGTATTACAAGGTAACGAGACAATCGACCGTTTAATATAGTCAAATACAACTTTAACCCTTTATTTACTGAATTTCTCTAAAGTTTTTAAAATCTAGACGTTTCTTTCGGTCTTGTATCATCTTATAATGTCGTCTCTAACAGCAATTCATCCAACAATTGCAAACGAACTTCATAGAAGCGGACTCGAAAGTCGCAATAGGTTTCAAAGCGTTTCATTAATACAGTACCATGAGAAAATTGACGGGACTTATGAGTAAATAAAGGGTTAAATAATATTATCGTTGATCTTGCTCGTTTTTAAAAGCAAGGTCCCATATCTATACGAATGAATATTCCTCATTTTCAATGATATCATATTTTTCTTTCTTTGTCTTTCTTTCTTTCTTGTAAATTAATTGATTACCTTTCCCCTTTTATACTATATCACATTGTTATGCAAGTAAAGAAAGTATGTAGGATAATTTGAAACGAAGCCAGGAAAGTTTTAATCCAGGATTTTGTGCGATTGCAGTTAGAAAAGGGGATCGTCACAGCTCGCAGTGCTTATTGTCCGTTTGACCTATTCTCGGGGGTGGAGGAACGCATGAAATCGGCATTAAAAGGTCTCCTAGCATCTCCGCAAAATAATCTGAAGATTTTTAAGAACGGCATAGTTGTTTACGATCAAGACTCGTCTTCTAGCGATCTCGAGTACGTGTTGGAGGAATGGTTTCACGATTCCGTGGCTTCTACGAGCAAAGAATACGTTGACAAATTCTTGGATTTAATCTGCCGTGCTGTTTTACGTTCGTTCGCCAAAGAGGAGTTCAAGCCATCTTCCGACCACGATGTATGCTCGTCTGCTCAAAAAGATCTCGAATCGATCTCATATATTAATCCAGATATAGTTGCAAAGGCTAAGAAGCTTCTGTATTTCGCTGACAAGGTAAATATCACGTGTAAACTGTTTGTCAATTTTTACGTAACTGAATCACAAGTTTTTACCTGTGCCCGATATATTTATAGGCGTGTGACACGAAAGGTGCAAATTTACCAAAGAATTGCGTACTAGAGCGGATACTCCATATGCAGAAGTTACCTTTTATCAGTTCCGAACACGTTTTCAACATATATTCAAAATTTCGTCCACTATTAACCGACGACGTGATATTTTCCAATTTAATAAAAACGCAGAAATGTTCCAAACATCGGATATCCTCGTATAAATCTACGGTAAGTAAACGTTTATAACCATTTAAAGGCAAACTCTGTCAAGCTCGAGTTTATTTAATTTGGAATTTTTTCCAGAATAATGTCATGGAAAACTCGAAAATGACGCGGGAGTTTTGTTCGAAAACACATATCAAAGGTACCTGAATTTAAAAAAAATTAAATATTTACAACCACTATGAGGAAAATACGGAATACTAATGCATAATCTGTATGGATTCCAGATGATGGGCCTAAAGAAAATGTTTCACATACACCAAAACTAACCTTGTTGCCTATGTACTTGGAAGATACTAATTTATCGCGTGATCAATCTAACGTGATGCATATCGGGGCCAATATATATCGTAACGAAAAAGGAACGAATTGTTTGCTTACCATCGAGGATGTAGTATGCTTACAAAATTATCTTTTGTTCTCATGTGCCAGGGATTGTTCGATATTAATTGCATTTCGACAACTAAACACGTAAGTTACAGAACAACATAGAAAATGTTGTAGTCTTGCAATGAACTATTGTTTTACAAAATAAGGAATGTCTTTTTATATACAGGGATACAGAATCGTCAGTCCTTGACGAAGGTGTAATAAATCTGTCGGATGGTCTCAGCTTTCTTTGTAATATCGGAGTTTCAGATTTGGAACCGAAAAGTCTTCGTTGTATCGAAAAACACCGTCAACGGGATACCAATATTTTAAGTGCTGTAATATCCATTCTTGAGAAAGAACTCATGGCTAAAAATCAATAATTTTTCTTCGATAAACACCAGAGATTTCTATTACTCGACACTTTTGCATCTTGTATCTCTTCTTTAATGGAAATTGTGTTCTTCGCAGCCTTTACAAAAACGTGTGTACACGTACATTCGATTCTTAGAATTAACGATTAACGTTAATCTTACGCGGATTAACCGATTCATTATAATATCGGATAGACTGATCATAGTATGATGGTATCGATGGTTTAGAATGTTTGCGTGTGTATGTTGAGACATGTGTCATTTTAAAACCCTAAGGATATTACTAAATGATTATTAATTCAGAAATTCATATTTTAATATTAAATAGATCGATCTTTACACATAAATTTCCATACTAGTACAAACTGTATCATAAAACATAAAGAAAGAAACAAGTATATTCAATTTAACATCACGCGTATTTATTATAAAAATATTACTAGAAAAATGAACAAATTATTTATATAAGATACGTATGTGTTTTATACAACTTATTTTAAAATTATTTTACTGTATGTATAAATTTATATGTTAAATTCAATTTGTAAATAGATTACCCACACTCAAATAAATGTTAAATATTTAAAAAAATAAAGTAGAAACCCAGAACGTTATTTTATATGTAGATTTACTTCTTTTAATTATTTTGATAATACATTCTAGATACAGTAATAATTGATTGCGTACAACTTTTCATTCGAACAAAATTTAAAATTGCTAGACCATAACTCATCGATTTATATATGAGCACAAATCAAGCACAATGAGCACTCTCAGCACAAATCAAGGTACGTATCAAGTTCTGGCCCGAATTTTACTCCTGGTATCAGGAGAACATAATATGCGAGGAAGTGGCACGTTTGCGCCTGGGAGCAGGCAACCGCCCCAACATATCAGTGAGTATAGGTTGCCTAATTCAAGGGGCAGATTATACGGTAAGTATGGGAATCTGGCCGATTTTGGATTTTGGTATCAGGAGCACATAATATGCGAGGAAGTGGCACGTTTGCGCCTGAGAGCAGGCAACCGCCCCAACATATCAGTGAGTATAGGTTGCTTAATTCAAGGGGCAGATTATACGGTAAGTATGGGAATCTGGCCGATTTTGGATTTTGGTATCAGGAGCACATAATATGCGAGGAAGTGGCACGTTTGCGCCTGGGAGCAGGCAACCGCCCCAACAGATCTGTAAGTATAGGTTGTCTAATTCAAGGGG